AAAACCCGGTTCGACCGGTTGAACCGGTCCGACCAACCAACTAATGACGATGCCGAGTCCATGTCCGGTCCGTCAACAGTTGTTGTAGTAAATATTTATCTAGGTTAGAAGATTAAGGATTTGGAGCAAATTGTTGGACATATACAATGTTATATGTGAAAAGAAATATATTGTTCATTAATAAAAATTATAGTGTATGCATATGGATGATATCTTTTTTGCACAAATCCATACCTTGTTTCTTTATCAATATTCACTACGGTTCCCTAAAAAAATGTTTGGTTGTCTTTTTCTTGTATCAAATATGTTTGTAAAAAAATCTATTAATCGGACAAGTTGTAGTATGTTTGCTTGTATCGAGACATATGCATAATCTCAACAGAGATGTTGGAATGCCTCTTTGTCTTTTATTTCGTTAGAACCTTAAACTGTAAGGAGAAAATAATTGATACTTGATTGTATTTTTTTCTCACTCTTTTTATTGTTTTCCTGTGATTTTAATCTTTTACATCGATTCATTTGTGAATTATTATGTTTTTCTGGATTCACAAATTTGTGGTGGAGTAAGGTTTTCTTTCGAGAGTATTGGTTAGGAGATGATTGACAATTTTAGCATCCTAAAACCTTGAAATTCCTAAAATCACTAATTTATTTTTTAACACTATTTTTATGGTTAACTAGTCCAGTACCCGCGCCTTGCGCGGGGATTAGTTTTTGTTAATAATTTATTATTACAAAGCTGTTAGTCATTAAAATATGATTTATATTTTTAAATAGGTATTCTTTTAATCTAAATTGAAACTAAAAAATCATGCAACTAAAGTAGACACATGTCTAATGTATTTTTCGTACGGATATAACTAGTCATTTCACTATGAACGTTTTAGGTTGTTACAACATGTAAACGATATTACAAATTAGAAACATGATGCCACTTATACCATATTAATAATTTTTAATTTACTAATCAAATTTTAGAAATCAATATTTATTTATTCTTTTCATTACTATTTTTTTAACCAAACGTTTGAAACTATTCATTAACATTACACCATCATTGTTTTAAGAAATTTAAGGGATGCAATATCCTAACATGGGAGCCTAAACCCTCATAATGCATGTAACTACTGAAAACAATACATAAACCCTAAACTCTAGCATCAAAGTATAAATTTAGATACAAAAACGTAAATTTGATATTTCATAAAACAACTTGATTGATGACTTTACATGTGAATTTATTTGGTTTTGTCTCTAGTGTAATGTTCAAATATAAATAATAAGATTATTTTTTAAAAATAATATGTTTTGTCTTTTGTCTTTTATTGACACTACAAAAAAAAAGGTGTGTAGCATCATTTATTTTGTTTGTTTAAATCAATTATAAATGATGCAAATATATTTTGCATCATTTATGTAAGCGACTCTAAAAATTGTGATGCAAATATTAACAGCATTTAAAAAGATCGATACAAATATTTTCATCATTTCTATTAATCGATGCTAATTTGCATCGATTTAAAAAATTGATGTTAATATTTACATCGGTTTAATAATTGTTGACAAATATTTTTTTATCAATTAAATAAAAATCAATTTCGAAAATGTTATAATTGGATTATAATTTAAAACTAACCGTAAATAAATGTTTTACTTAAGGCAATATTTATTTACCTTTAAATAAGCTATCAAAATCAAAATCAATGTTGAACTTTGACAACAATATATAATTGAGGGAGTTTAGTTATTTGTAATATTAGAATTTTCTTACCCCCACCTTTAATTATCGATGTGGGACTTACAAAAGTAAGAAAATGATTTATTAAAAATGTGTTAGCATCAATTTTTTAGTGACATAAAATTTACAATAATTTTTTAAATGATGCTAACCAAATTTGGTAATTACGTTGGTTAAATAAGGAATGTAAATCAATATGTATATGTCAATTTTTTTTTAAGTGATACAAATTAATATGGATTTGCATCAATATTATTAAACCGATGTTAAACACGTCAAAAACAATATCAATTACTACACATGATGTTAAGTCACATGTTTTGTATCATTTACTTAATAAATGATTTAATATTATATCATTTANGTTTTTGATACTTTTTAAATGATGTAAAACACTTATTTTTTGTATTGTGAGGACGTGGTTGTACCTCATATGAAGTTTCAGTATATATCTAAAAAATAAAATTAAAAAGTATTATTCAAATTGGTTTTTACTGAAAATTACCAAAAAGTTATTGCTAATATATAAATTAAGATAGAATGTTACTAAAAAATTATTGTTTTATACATCTTTGTAATTAATGAATTTACAAGAATTACTTATATTTTCAAAGGCGATAATTTCTAAATAGATTATTAAAAAAAAAAAAGTAGAACTTTATACACTTTTAAATGATTTCAGGTAATAGTCAATGCTGAGCTTTATACCATTTATATTTTCAACCAATAATTTATC